GCCAGTCTAGCCGTCATTAAGTACGGCTAGCCTCTTCCTATTTGAAATGCTAGTATACTAGATCTAGATCTAGTAGCCATCGTTTCTACATTTAAAATATAATTGTCATTTTGCCTGAATTGTGGAAGCTTTATATTATCAGTTTCTTGATTAACCTTCTTGGACTTGGATTTGATTCTTCACCCAGGGTGAGAATAGAGAGACATGGGTTATTCTTTGAAGGCATTTTCAAATGAAGTATACCGGGTAGTCCGGGAACTTTGCCCCAACCACAATTGAAGTATCTGAATATTCAGACATCTAAAAATCTCTAGCTCTAGAAATTGAATTCAATGCAAAAAATGCTCCTTTCCAGTCCTCGCAGAACGACAAAATGAAAGATGATGCCGAACTCTCGCAAAAAACGCAGAGAACGGAAACTGTTCAGAGAAATAGAGATCAAGTTTATTTTCCCGAACGTTCGGGGAAATAGTCACTTCGGAATAATTCTTAGATCTATCTCTGCGTGCACTTTATATTTTGCCATCTCACATAACGTCGCCTGATCTAGATTTCTTGGCTTCGGCGTTTAAATTAGCAGGGGGTAGTGTCTACATTCTCTAACGTTAGACCTAGAGAATGTATACAAGCTGTCTACGTTCTCTAATGTTTAGTGCTTCCAAGCATGGCATCAAATCCCGTTCGGGCCGGAAGGTTTTTTTTCTTCTCCTGAACCTAAAATTATTTTTTAAAAATAATATAGACTCACAGACCAAGGAAATCCACTATTGAACTTTAACCAGGCATAAATTGGACCAGACCAGACCATCAATGATTTATTTATAGAGGCACCAGCCATCCATGTCCAGGTGCTGTTTTAGCCTCTTTTTCCTGTATTCGGATTAATAATATCTTTTTGCCAATTTATTGGTTCCGCTTCTATGTACCCCATATCTATGGTTCTCAACCTGGAAATTGCCTATAATTCGCTGTAATTGCCTCTCCCCCACCCCCTCTCATCACCCCCCCTCCCCCTCATAGTGTCATCATTGATATTACCATCTATTTTTATCGATAACACGTTTATGGATTAAGGGCAGTATTAATGATAATTAAGTAAAAAAAACCACCCATCAATTAAATAATAAATAAATAAATAAATACATACATAAATAATAAATCAATCAATAAATAAATAATGCTAATGATTATCATATGCAAATATTGATAATGAGAAGAAGAAAAAGGAGAAGAAGAAGAAGAAGAAGAAGAAGAAGAAGAAACACGGTCATAACATCAATATAAAAAACAATAATACTAACAATAGAATTGATTTTAGTAAAATAATGAAATAATATTAAAATAATAAATGGAGCAATATTATTATAAATCAAAATTTCTAAAAGGACACTACTTGGAATCCGCCGATTGTATGGGATCAGATACCTTGTATGAATATGTTAAATTAGGTAATTCAATCCATACAATTTGAGGTTATATATGTTCAGATCACCATTCTTTTTTTTTTTCAAGAGGAAAGCAGATGTCTATTCTCATTTTGTGTTTAGTCATTCTATTGAGTTACATCTATAAGACCAATCTCCTCGTGGTTTAAGGAGGGGAAATATGATGTATAAACTCAACTATTGCATTTTTGTTCTTTTTGTAGAGGGTCACATCCTTTTACCGACATCCTCTTGTGTAAGGAGTGGAAAGAAAGATGTAGAGACCCATGTTTTAAATCACTTTCAACTTGTAAAGTTGCTTGTTTTTGTTTTGTTTTTTCGACATCATTTCCTCCATACTTGAATGAAATGGATTGAGATATATATTCATATATTTCATTCGGATAGAGAGATAGAGGGAGGGGGGAATGTAAAATTATAATGCTTTTATATATTAAAGGTATTATATTTAAAAGTAATAGCCATGATCACGATGATAGTAATAATGATAGCCATAACGAGGGTGGTAATAATAAAACAACAATAATAACACTACCAATAATAGAAACAACGATGAATAACAATAATACTACTACTACCAATTATAATAAAATAATCTTAATAATGATAATAATAATAATAATAATAATGACATCAGCAACAACAACAACAACAACAACAACAACAACTACGACAACAACAACAACAATAATAATAATAATAGTAATAATAATAATAATGATAATAATAATAATAATAATAATAATAATAAGTAAACAAATAAGTATGAAGAACAACTTTTCTTGGAGCATACCCATATTCTTTATTCCCAGTCCCCTTCCCCCCGCCCCCCTCCCCTTCCCCCCCCCCCTCTATTTCCGTGTCCCAGATAATAATAATAACAATAATGACAACAACAGCAATAATAATAATAATAATATTAATAATAATAATAATAATAATGATAATAATAATAATAATAATAATGATGATAATAATAATAATAATAATGACAACAACAACAATAATAAATAACCCTTTTCCCCTTGTTAAAGCATAGATTGATTTAGATAATGTTAGAGGCAAGAGATTGCCTGTAGATTTATATACGATATTTTTTATTTATTTCGTCTATTAAATTTTTAATAAGAATTTTCGTTTGATTGCTTCTCTTTGGGTACAGAATGTTTGTAGTGTCAAAATGAATGCCTTCCTTTTTAAATTGATCTATTAATGCATTTCGGTATTGTATGAACAGTTCACATTCCAAAAGTACGTGATCAATTAATAGTGTTTCTTGGCACTGGTGGCATATTTGATTTCTTTTGATGAAGAAATATGGTGAGTATAATCTGAGTCGGGTAATCAAGTTTTGGCCCTCTCCATACGGTACTATAGTTTTTATGTTTGGCACTATCTTTTTAAAGAATGTGCCTGTCTTTGAATTTGTCCATGCAGTCTGAAAAATGTTTTCTTTTACTCTTTGGTGTAAAAGATTTTTCATTTCGAGGGGTCCCAGTTTTGTATTTATTGTATATATATATTCTTTCTTTTGCATTCTTCCCTTGTTTGCAAGCTTGCCTAAATTGGTTAAAGGAAAAGTAGGTGAAAGCTCCTCTTGCGGATAAAACCAGAGCATGCTTCAGCACCACATAAAAAACTTCAAAGCAACTAGTTATAATTATGGGAAAAAATTGTTGATCAGTCGAGAAGAGGAGAAGAAGAAGAACAAAAAAAACTAGGATTCGAACCCACGCTCATAAAATAAAGGTTGGACTTCAAACGCAGACGCGCTGTCCTTTCGGCCATCAGAACTTCCAAAAATGAAGCGTAGATTTTATTAAACCTTATATTTAACACACAGCGTTTTATTTAGCTCTGTCGCTAATTGCAACCGACGTTGCAAATAGGCACTGCCTTAATTTTTTTTATTGTGTTTTTGTTTACTTTTGTTCCCATGTCACCATGTCGATAAGAAAAGTCTGCCTTGAACTCTCTTCCATTCAGATTGGAAGTGGTTATTCACCCCAGGTGAGAATAACCCGTGTCTCGCTATTCTCACCCCCTCGTTTTACCGGAAATTCAAGTGGGATCAGGGCTGAGGTTAGCGGGGGGGGGGGGAGGGGGGGGAGGGGGGGCTGATGCTCCACAGCATCGTGTTCGTCACTGCTTGTGTCTGAATAGTCACAGTCAGGGTTGTCAGTTTGGAGCCAAATCCCAAATATTTGGCTCTTTTGAATCGTATCTGGCTCGGAGGATTTCATTTGGCTCTCTGGCTCTTTTTTGGCTCCAAACTCAAAATGATCAAGAAGAAGGGGAAAGAAGAGACAAGAAAAAAAGAAAGAATAAAAGAAAAAAAATGAAAGAGAAGAAAAGAGCTTGGATTGTTTAGTTATTAAACTAGTTAACACGATTTAACGCCCTCGCCCATTTTGTCAGAATAATTTACAATCCTTCTACCGTCGTGCCAGAGCATTTATTGTCTCTTGCTTGTGTCTCGTTACATTTGTACACGCTCTCTTGTTCTTTGAACCATAATTTATTGTGTGCTGGCAGAGAGTTAGTGCCATCGTTAAGTGTGTAATACAACTACAGTAAACAACGAATGGTCCGGCCGGTCCCACACCCCACCCAGTAGCGTCGGTAGTGAGCCTTTTTTTAAACTGGAGAGGCGAAAAATGTTTTTACATTATTTTTATTCGTTCCCAACCACATGCGGTAAACCACCAAGGGCCTAGGTGATCTTATCGGCCTGCGAGAGGTCAGGGGGGAGTCGTTGCCTCATGCCCACACCGGGGTGGGAGCTATTCTCACCAGGGGGTGGGGGGGGGGGGGGGTGGGGGTGTGAAAATAGCGAGACATGGGTTATTCTTTCCGGGGCGGGGTGAGAATAAAGGTGGCCTTCATATTACAGATAATCAGAAATTGACTTAGTAACACAAAATGATAAATTATTAGCCTGGCTTTCTCCTACCATGCACATCTGGAGAGGAGTTCCCCAGAGGGCCGGCACTTACTGTGACATGGTCCACTGAGCAGACAATACAATTAGGTCGATAGTTAGGGTTAGAGTATATAATATCCTGCTCATAATATCCCTTCTTTTGTGTGTTGTTGGTTGGCCGGCCTTCTGTGGAACTCCTTTCCACATCTGAGATCTCCACTGTTTATAATGGGGACCACATAATATGGTTGTGATGATGTCAGCATGAAAGATATTTTAAATTCATTTTATCCGTTTGAATTCCAGCCTCCTATGACTGGTTTCCGACAGTCCCAAGCCTACTGACAGGGCTGCAAATCATTATATGATGAATTTGGCTGAATCATTATATTATGATTTTTTGGTACTTTTACAAAAATATGATTGTAATACCCCTAATTCCAATTTTTAAAAAAAATCCGGCTTCCTCAACTCACTGCCTACCTTCCCTGTGTACAAGGTGGAGAAAAGCTATCAGACACGACAGTCTAGGCCTATACTATGTCACACTACGCCACATGCAGCTTTCTAAATTTAACAGTATTTTAAGCCGCTGAGTGCCTCTATGCCCTTAAAAAAAAGACTTCAGAAGTGCCAAGCAAGGAGTAGGGTGCTCTTGTGGTCTAGAGGTTAAGGTGTTCGCCTATCATTCAATAGGCCCTGGGTTAAAATCCGGATAGCGACGGAAAATTTTCTTTTCTCTAAAACTAAAACATGTCATGTTCGCCTTTCATATCCTTTCCTGCTCTCTAACGATGTTCTGTCATCTGCTTTCGTCTCCATGTTGAAATGCCTCCACCCCCTCACCTCCTTTGCCCCCTCCCCTGGGTTCTTGACTCTGTCTGCAGTCTTTCTACTGCTACTCCTTGGCTCTTTCTTACTGCTGTCTTTCAGCCACACCTCTGATCTTATGAAGTAAGAACAACACCTAGCCTTCTCTGATAAGGGCAAAAAATTTCGGAGGCCTTGTGTGCAAGTTGCACACATTAAAGATCCCTTGGTGGTTAAAAATTGATAAGACTGTCCCCGTCGGATTATGGGATTGTGCGCCCCCGTTGTTTCGCGTAATTCTGCAACATTTGCATAATTTTGGATTCCCGCGTATTTTCACATTAAAAAAATATTTTTCACAAAACATATTTACATATTTAATGCCTCGCTGTGTGACTAAAGGGAAGCAATCGCGGTAATAAGTCTCTTTTAAGTGACAAGTTGGTTATTTCCTTGTTAGAAGATCTTGGTTAATGAAACTGGGAATGTTATTAAAGAAACACAATGATCGTTGAAATTTGGGTTGGGGGTGGGTGGGGATGGCTCAAGTAGACTTTAACCCCTGTACTTTTTCCATGGAATAAAGATAAGGGAATGGCTGAAGGGAATTGTTAACCCATTCTAACCCTTGTTATCATGCTTATGTTCAAAGTTAATCCTTGTTTCATGTCTGAATGAATTCCTAATTCAATTTCCTTAAATTTGATGAATCACCTGTTACCTTTTGAGTGATGTCCATGCTTTTATGAAGTTATTGAACTTCACCCGTATAGCCAAATTGAGCCAAAAATTAATTATGTATAGACCCCCCAAAAAACATACTTGGAAAGAGTGAAAAAGCCAGTAGCCCAGTTAACAAGGTCATGATACAGGAGGAGACACATGGACTTTTAACACTGGATGGTATCCCTTCAACCATCCTTTGTATGATGAATTTAATAATTTCATAGAAGAATAGATGGCAAAATGTATATAAATTTTTTAAAATCTTATTTATTTGAGATGTATTTTTAAAAAATGTAAGCTGCAAGTAAGTTAGCAGTTAAAATGTATGTGTTTGAATGTTACAGATAAACATTTATTGTTCATTGTTAAAAGAATACTTTTTATTGTTCTTTTCAGCTTTTACTTGCCGTTGTTTAAATACAACTTCAAATCGGCAAGCAAATCAGAGCCCCAATAATGATTATGTTGTTAGCAAGGTTTACCACAATCGGAACCCCAGGTACGTTGTTGAATATTATGTAAAACTACACTACAGTGCACTTAAAAGTATGGTTAGTGTATCTGATTTTGTTTGGGCGTTTTTTGATGCTTGTTAATGTTATCATATTGTTAGTGTTCTCACATTGTTTGTCTGTTATTGCTGACATACTTAAGTACATACTTTGTCCTGAACTTTGTGCAGTTGAGATCTTTGACAATAGCTTCTTCACTTCTGATCATAAGGTTCGTTTGTAGTCTTTTGCGGTAGCAAATGATTCATTTAAATGTACTTAGGTTGTTAGAAAATGGAGAAGAGCAGGTCAAGGAGGCTGTCTGCTTGTCAGAACTTAGTTTAATCTGTGCCTGAAGCTGAAGTAATTGATTCCTTGAAATAGTAGTCCCCAAATTATGTGCCTTTTGAAATTGAAATTCAAGTCTTTAAGAAAATTGATACTTTTAAGTCTTGTCAAGTTAAAGAGACTGAATGCATGCATGCCCCCCCCCCCCCCCCCATCCCCCAATTAAAAAGAATTTATTTGTGCTTAACCTTATGAGCTGTGATCTGGTAAACTGATGAAGATTTTGGAATTGAAAAAATAATTAGTTCTGAAAAGTGTTTATGAATGATTTTATTATTTGGGGATGACTTTGTTGATGTGAGATTTAAATTATTGTGTAAAACTGGCAACCACCTTGTTCATTCATTCATGAAACACCGGTGATGTGGGCTCACATGCTCATACTCACGCATAAAACACACACATTGTGAAATGCTAAGTATGCTTTTCAATTAATTTTATGTTGTATGATTTTTTGTGAATATTCAGAAATCTTGAAAAATTGGCCCTTGCTCGGAAAAGGCTTGGCTGGAAGCTGACTGCTCCCCGCAAAGACTATTATCATAAGTGAGTTTTTTGTACAGCTATGTACGTCTTACGTTATTTTTTAACACTTTATGTACAGATCTTCTTTTGTTTTACAGATAATTTCCCCCCAATTTTTGCATCACCCTTCATACCCTTTAATTTCCCACTGTATTTGAAGTTCTAAAATGTTAATATTAATCTAAAAAATAACTGGGTTGATTAAACCTCAGCTCCTGTTGTTGAGCCTTTCACTCGTGCTCAAGGTATTGTAATAAAATTTTTTATATGTTTTTACTTCATTCAATTTTCAGTTCAATGATGTTTGGTTCATATTCGTATTTAAAAAAATAAAGTCGTATTTAAAAAAATAAAGAAGTTATAAGCATTTTTCATGACCCACCCTAATTTTCATGAAGTTCTCAAATTAATTTGCCTCTGAATAACCGGACAGTGAAAATATTAATTTGCCTCTCGAAGAAGTAAAGTGCAGCACTCGTAATTCCCATAACAGATCAACCTACAGACCTGGTCTATGACAGGATGGCCACCTTTTGTTTTGAGGAAATGAAGTTCATGTTGAAATCTGAGGTTTTAGAACAATTAACATATACGTTTAGCTCAAAAGGTTACAATTCCTCGAATGCAGCTGAAAGTCAACAAACTACTTTGTTCCTATCCCTTATTTTTGCTGTAGTTCTTCAAGATAGTCGTTCCGATATGCTTTTTTAAAAGTTGGTTTTTGTTGTGTTTTTTTTAAAGACGTGCTTGTGAAAGAATGACCTGTACGTTTAAATGATAAAGTTATAGTTTATAGTCTTGTATCCCTTTTCTTCTATATCTCTGATGATGCCACAATAGAATGACATATGACTTCAACCCATATCACAACTCATGCACACCCACACATACACATACACCCACTCACACATATGTCCTCCCCTACAAGTCAAATCTTGAGGGTGTCTAAGCTTGATGTGTATATTTGGGGGTTTTGGGTTGTTTTTTTTTTCAAAGTTTAACATAATGGCTCACATTGTAAAATCATAAGTTGAAGGTAAAAGTACTTGTAGGTTTTAGTGTACAAATGTACTTTATTTATTTTCCTTTAGGTTGATATTCACTCTCAGCAACCGTCATACAGAAGCTAGACTGGAGCATTTCTCGGGGTTCACAGTGCTCACAGTGTCCACCAGGGAGTGGGCGGTTCGAGACCAGCTTTACAGGTACAGTTGCTGAAATAGTGGAAGATAATTAAATCACTCTTTGTCGAGGAGAAAAGTGATTTTTTTTCAGAGGGGTGAACGTGTTGGGCTGTGCCATTATTATGTAGAAAAATGGTAGAGGTGGGAGATGGTAGTTTGTATTGGTGATTGTCTTGGACAGGTGGCCATTACAGCAGGTTTGACTGTATTTTGGCTGTTATTTCCTGTCACGGCCCTCTCCACTTGGCGTCAATAGCCTAGTGGTTAATTCGTAAGCATGGGGTTGCGGGTTAGGGGGGTTTGAGCCTCAGCTCGGTCTAATGTTGTGTCCTTGGGAAAGGCACCTTACACGAAATTCTTATTTGTCTAGGTTCTTTCGGAGGCGGACGTTTGACTGGGAAGCACTACCTCTGAAATAGCCTACTAGTGTTGATAGGGACATTCATTGTAGAGTTGGGGCGAGCGGACGGACGGGTTCGTTACTCGCGGACTCAGTCAGAGCGAACGGGTAACGGACGGCCATGAGAGCGAACTGCGAACCTCAAGAC